CCAAGGGGGCGGTACCGTTTTCTCGTGGCCGCCCGGTATAAAAGAGAGACGTAGCACCGGTGCATCCACCAATTACTATTGCACTTTGCCACCGGGACGGAGGCAAGGTCGGTGCACAAACCCTCTCGACTCGAATTCGTCTTCTTTGTCGCGCGTGTCAACGGCTACGGGGTCATCTTCTTCGGGTTCGTCCTCGAGCTCTACCCCTGCGGTCGCCAATGATCGTTGGCGGCGTTACGCGCGCGTGTGATCCACCGCAGACGATCTCGATCGAGTATCGAACTCGATCCACTAAGGGATACTCGCGTCTCGTCCGTCAGAAACTTTCTTCCCAACGACATTCCGCGGTTTAAGGGTGCTCGGTGAGCGTCAACCCTTCGCTAGAAAGGGCGAGAGGGCCGAAGGGAGGGCTCCCTCTAACTTGGATTCTAGTTTGCTCTTCGTATCGCTCTTCGTATTCGGTTGTGTATTCCAGGTTGCCACTTGGTATTCGTTTTGGGGGATTGCTCTTTCCTTTCGCTCGGAAAGGGTGAGTTTTTTAACGAGATCGTGTAGACTAGTGCTTTAACCGGAGTTGGGTAGAATACGTTTGAATTGTTGTATTTCTTAATTTTAATTTCTAAATTTCGGTTCTATTTGTTTTTAATTTAGATTCGAATCTGCATTCGTGTAGACTTGGCAGTGTTGGCCAGAATTGGGTAGAATTTTTTAATCATAATTCTGAAGTTCTAAATTCCAGCTTGTAACTTCTAAACTTAAATTCCACATAGCTTTTTCTTTTTAGATTCTAATCTGCGTTCCTGTATACTAGTGTTAAACAGAATTGGGTGGAATTCCTATCTTAAGGGCAATCATTGAAGTAGAATGTAAACGACTTTTAATTTAGAATCTTGATTGACGAAAATTGAAAGTAATTTGCTTCGTGAAAATTGTAATCTAAATTGTATCATCGAATTATCGACGATTAGGTTAAATAATAAAAGTAATAATCAATCTAAAATAACAGTTTAGCTTTAAAAATAAATAGTAAAACCAATACAGGGATAAATAAAAATATGAGTAGTCCACATTTTGTGTTAATAGAAAAAGTTAATTATAATTATAAATTGCTCGATGTAAATAAATCATTCCCAATAGATTGTATACTCACCAAAATAAACCGAAGACAGGAAATGTTGACTACAATTGAATTACAAATTGAACCTTGAACAAACAAAAAATACCAGGCAAGATTAGAACCGGTCAAAATTAATACTTCGATACACGAAATATAAAAATTAATAGCTTTTTGCTCAAGAATGATTCGCAATAAAGAATACCGATCAATAGAATTCGTACAAAAAAAGAATTCAATAAATAAAACTAGTAAAAAGTTATTCTTTTACATTTACCATGTAACCTTCATTGGTCATTCGTGTCCATAAAGTTCTTCTTTCAATGAAATAACGTGACCTAAATGAACTCAGACGAGACACCCGCGAGACGACTAGAAAGAGGTACGCGCGTCGAACTTCGTAACACTCACTTGCAATTTTCGAGCGAGAATCCTGTTTACAGACTACAAAGTTCGACGGTAAAAATAGTAATGACCGTCGTTAAACCGTTATACGAGGCAAAACGTAAGAATGCGCACCGATCGCAAACGAGGAAACGGAAAAATAAAAGAGCCGAATCGAAGGAAGTGAAAGGAGAGACGACAGCGTCACGCGATTTTGATCGTGGCTTCATTGTTCAACCGAATATACTTATACAACTATTATTCGCCCGTGGAAAGAACCGGAGGAGTCTGGGGACAAGAGAATGGGATCGTTTCCAAAAATTCATCGTGGAAAGTTAAGAAAGTGGACGTTGCACAGTGGGCCAGAATCAATTCGTCGAATGACGAAAATAATCGACTTGGTTCAGTCGAAATTCTGGCTAGAGAAATATTTATTTTATATTACTTGCTCGATCTATTATGCTAATTTATTGTTGATATTTCATTTTTTTATTATTAAAATATTCCTAAGTATGCAATAGTGGGATTTATATACAAAGAAAAAATATTATAGTGGGTTATAGGTGTCTCCTTTAGGTATATTTTAAAATTATCAATATGATTATTAACAGATTAAATTTTTGTGGAGATTTTACGAATTTTAAAGTGTTATATATTTGAGACACAAGTTACTTTAAATATCGCTTTACAAAATTCGTGTGGAACTGCAATTCCTTTTTAACCTTCAATCTAACCACGTGCTAATTAAATTTTCCGTACATTTATTTACTTTGTCCGAAAGGGACAAATCCCAACAAATTTTTGGATGCTCACCAAACTATTAATTAAATACAATAAAATTCATCTAAAGCCCTAATGAATTATTGAAGATTTACAGTTCTCACTGTAATCAACAGAACTGTTGACCTATTTGGTGAAACAATAAAAATTTGTATTTAGCGATAAAATGTTTCATTCTAAAATTCAAACTCTACTTTTTATTCTACGAGTAACGTAAAGAATCTTGTTTATTTTTTTATTTCATATTGAAAATCGATATTTATATAAAAATTAGAGTATTTATTTTTTACTCGTTTGAAATATTCATCTGGACAATTTTGCCCATCTCAATTATTTTCGTTGCGTTATGGAGTTAATTCTGGCCACACCGCGGGATCGGGTTCCTCCTTTTTCTCCCTGTTCTTCTCGCGAAAAACCTTGCACAATTTATGCATCGGAAGCAAACGACGAACGGCTCTCTATAAATACCGTGGAACCGGGCAAAAAATGTCCCGGGTGGCAGCGAGTGAACCGATCGTTCGAATCGACTCTCGCGACGACGTGGTTGTCTTCATCCCGCGAAAAGAAATACCGGAAGTAAACCGAGGGGTATCGTGGACGGCTCCGAAGCTCGATACCCTCGAGCATGGGCCCGACAAAGAGGGTGGCGTCCACAAAAAACGAAAGGACGAAAAACCCTCGGAGAAAGGGGGAGAAAGAGAGCAAGAAGGAAGAAGATAGAGGGACGGAGAGAGAGGGAGGTAGAGAAATAATTCATTGCTCGCTGTGGGGACTGGGCCTGACTCTCCGAGGAAAATGTGTGGCGAACTCGAATTATTAAACAATCGCAAGTGTTTGAGAAATGAGTCGAAAAATGGATCGCTTTTATCACGAAGTGTTAGTGAAATAAAAAATTAAACATTTGTATTAGCAAGTGCTTGTGAGATAAAAATTGAAGAAGGAACTCAAATGCAAGATTACAAATATTTAAAAAAATTCCTAATGTTAACATTTTATCGTTATGAATGATAGGGTTCCCTCTTATCGTGACCAGACAGTAAAATAGTTTTCTTTAGGTATTAAATTCCAACAAAATTAGCGCTCGTCCTGATAACTCCTTTTACATAATGCATTTTGAAGATTGTAACAAAATATTTTCAATTATACACGTATCTGTAAAAAATAGCTCTGCGCGAAGCTTATCGAAGGGCCATTTTGAAAGGGTTCTGATGATTCAGCGGTGATCTAGGCTCTGCACATGGGAGAATCCAAAACATCCTTAAAAATAATTATCCCGGAAGCCTGGAGTCATTTTAACCCATACAAATATAATTTAACAATTTTCTTTCTTACTCTCTAAGGCATATACAAACATCGTGCCAAGACAAAACTCTGAATTCATTTCTTTAGAATAAACTCCGAAAGAAGCAAATGTCCTGGAAGTTCGCCTGATTTCTTCCTTTCAAAAGGACCTCCTGCACCAGGAATTTTGTCTGTCAATTAACCACGAGACAATCGAATCGAAAATCGAGCCACAGAGCTGAAAGGTGAGAGCGAGAGATCGGAAGGAAAGCGTAGGAGGAGCCACGCGGAGAGTCGAAAGAACGCGCGTGGAGCACACGGAGGAAGGAAGGAAGGCGGCCCGGGGCCGGTGAAGGGCAGGAGGACGCAAGAAATACGAGGAGAAGGAGGAGGCGGTAGTAGGAGGAGGTGGCGGCGGAGGAGAAGGAGACGGAACATGCATGCATGCATGCATGCATGAGACAGGGCAGGCGGACAAACAGGCAGACATAGAGGCAGGCAAGGCATAGAGGCATACAGCCAGATAGGCGAGCCGCAGCCGCAGCCGCAGCCGCAGCCGCAGCCGCGATCGCGCGCTCACAAGAAGGGAAGGTGGGGGACAACATAACACAGCGCGGCCGCGTGTGCACAACCGCTTTTGCAGAGCTTCGCTCGGCACACGGGGAGACGTTCCGCCTTGTACTGCTGCTGCTGCTGGCTGGCTGGCTGCTAGCTGCTAGCTTGGGCTGCTGCTGCTGCTGCTGCTGCTGCTGCCGCTGCTGCCTGCCGACTGTCGACTGCTACTCTCAGTCTGTCGGGCGGCCTCGTGCGCGCTTGGTTCCCCATCGACGAATCCGGCGCGCCACGAAACTACCCGCGCGAGTTCGAGAGACGGGACTTGGCCGGTGAGCCCCGTGGTTGCTCCCTGCCTCGATTTTAATCGAGAACTCTCGGGTTCACCTGACGATCGGAATCAGTGGAGTGAGGCAGGTCGGGGGAGAGTCACACGTGCCCCCCCCTGGGGGTCCTACCTTCGCTGCTTATCATTCTCGATAGACCTACGTTCTGTTCTTCTTTTTTTTTTTTTTGTTTTTATTTGTTCTTTCGCGCGTCCACGTGTCGACGATGGTGCGCGGGTGGTGCGCCGTTGTGCCGTGCGTCGCTCGATCGTGACGGGGGACGATCGGTTTCGCGGCTGGAGACGCGTGCCTACCAAGGGACAGGTCTCGAGAAAGTACGCTCTGGACGGTGACAGGACACTGCGAAGCGGACGGGAACGCGCACGGTCTCTCTACAGGTGTTTCGAATCGATTCCCCGCCACGAGGCCCCTCCTGCACGGTGCACTCCTCGTGGATGGTGTGATTGTTCAGTGAGTTTCCATCGGCGGACACGTGATCTCCTCTGGTCTTGGTACGGGTACCGGCGCGCAGCCGGCGCTGTCGTCCCGTCGCGTGGCTCTGTTTCGGTCGGGGCCCTTGGACGCCTAGTTTCTCCGGACGTCGGAGTTTTCACCGCCCCCGTGACGAGCGCGGAAGATTCGTCGGGGGCAGCCGATATAGCGAAGAGGACGGTCGATAGGTGTGTTAGATGTTGCCGCGAGCTCGAAGCGCGACGATCGTGTACCCGCGGAGCGTCTTCGGGTGTCTCAGTTCACGAATCGTGATTTTTTCAAAGTTTCTTCGGTCGAAATGCGAGCAGCGCTAGCTCCATTCGCGTGACAGAAACTCGGAGCAGCGGAGTGGCCCGCGGTGTTGACTCCGGACTTTTGGCGGATGGGACGCGAGCTCGGGGAATAACAATCGAGAAGGGGGTAGAATTCGGTTCGTTTTGGACCCCTGAAGGGGAGTAACGAGGAGATCGTGAACGATTGGACGTTTTCAGCGAACGCAGTGTAAATGACTCGAAAGGCGGGAAGACGGTGGCGGACGAATACGTGGTAAATCGAGCGGGATTTATTTCGGAGAGAACTGTCGCTTCTGGTGAGAGGAATCGATCGGAGGTGGCAGATGAGATGCGAAGCACGAGGACTACGCTGCGCGGAGCTGGCGGGAGCGAAGAAGGCGGAAGCCAAAGTTAGGAAGCCAAAGGTGCCGAAGGCGCTCGCAGGGACTGCGGCAGGTCAAGGGGGCACCTGGCGGGGGCCGCCTGAGATGACGACCCTGCGACGGGGTATCGTGACACCCCGCTACAACGCCTACGTCCTGGTATCGCTGATAGGACTATTGCTGCAGACACAGTCCGCGACGGGTGAGCGTATTTATGTTTATTTGCGATCGAGGTTGGAGCTTGCAGATAGAACTGGTGATTCTTGATCCTTTGAGCTGAACGCGCCAGTCTCGAAGGGTTTGGGTTTGTTTACAGGAGTAAGTTTAACAACTGCCTTAGGTTAGTTTAGCAATGGTGATGATATTTTTGTGTAGTTGTACTTTTAGTCATGTCTTTGGTACACTTCAAGAATGTCTCTCTAGATATACAATTAGACATTGTAAGGATAAAGAGGTTATCTACTCGAATAGGTAGATTTCGTGTTTCTGTTGGCTATACAACTTTTCACGATGATCTACAGAAATTATCGATGAAAAGTGTTTAAAAGTAGCTGTCAGATTTTAAATTCAACACTCCACGATGTCAGTTACAGTATCTATTGCATGAACCGGAAAATAATGTCGTTTTTGCAATTTTAAATACTTGTTTATCGTTCATTAGCTCATTGATTTTTATCGATCTGCCATTGACAATTTGCACGCTAGATGGCAAAAGGCTATTGATATCGGGAGCGATTATACAATTAATAATTAAAAATAGAAATTTATAAAAAATTTGTTTGAATTTAATGTCAAAGAAACGACGTTACTTTCCAGTCCACCTAATATAATTTAAGACAGTAATCATTTTTAGACATTCTCTTAGAAAGAAATGATTCATCTAGTCGTTACATTATATTTTTAAAATGTTGATTTTTAACAAAATTGTTGACATTCGAAACTGAGAGTCAGAAAATTTTATCCGTAAAATGAATATATTTAGGTATGAAATGAAGAATCTGCCTTATTTCGTGTAAAATAAGCATCCAACAATTTAACCGATTTAATTTGACCATTTTCGAAATATTTCTGTTACACTGGTGTCAATTTTCATTAAAAACTGTTGAACCATGCAGAAATTATGAACGTCCTCGTATGACACTGTCAGCGTTATCTCGTCACAGTAGTGGAATGGGATTCATCTAATCGCGATTGTCTGATTTGAATAAGTCTAGAATATTTAGAAGCTAGATGAATAACAGTATCGTTGCATGTATAAATTTTCTGAAATATCGATTGTTTCCAAAATTGGATACTCAAAGAAAATAAATTGAAATATTCTGGAGAATCAGATGGTTCAGAATCAGAATGTTATTGTTAATACAGAGCTAAAATTTCAACTTAATCGGATAAAACTTTCTCTGAAAAAGTCACTCCACCAGTTTGAGAAACTCGATTCCGAGAGAAACGTGTTCAAAGTTTCGGGATCGATCACTTTATGAATAAAGTAATTCGACGAGCTTGGTGCAATTGTATTTTCGACTCATTTGTAAAAAAAGAAAAATTTTCCATTCAAAATTTCATTCCGAGCAAAGATTAATGAATATTTCAGGAAAGTATTTTTAAAATATTAAATTTAGAAAAATCGTCAATATGCTCGAAGAATTGAAATCGATCTCAAGCACTAAACTTTTTGTAATATGCCTGCATAGTTTGAATTGCGTCAATTTTAATATAAATATCTGCTAAACACTTGCGCAACCATTAATTGCTATTCCACATCGATATGCATCGTATGTCTATTGGAATGTTAATGCATAGTGTCATAAACACGATTTATTTTCTGGTTCGTTAGTGTCGTTGAAGATTGCATTGTTTGCAATTCTACGACAAAAAAAATCTTTCCTCATGTTTATAGGGCTACCGAACATCTCTGCAGAATCAATAATTTATTGTTACATTCGAGTATTAATTAACCTACGGAAATTTATCTCAACGAGACTTGAGACTTATACACATAATAAAATATAAGTTTCCAGTTATTGCAACAAGGTGTTAAATAATAACCCAACCAAAGAATATTAGTAACCATATAAAAATTAATAATTGTACACCGAAAAATAAAATTAGAAAATGCAGGATGAACAATAAACGAAATTAAATGGAGTTAAATAAAGTAAAATTATGCAAGCTGTTAAAAAGTATTTGGAAATTGAAATATACGGCGTCGTGCACCTGAGCGGTACACATTTACGCTCGAAAGGCCTTCGTTATTAGACTTTTACTTTAATAGTAATCGTCAGATCGCACAAAGGCCGCAAATTATTACCTTACCGATTAAGAATACCCTTGCGCAGTCTGCTAGCCGTTAATGACGCAATTAATCTCGCCCGAGCATCGAAATCGTTAATAAACGACACGTAACAATCACGCATATTTATCGATACAGTTTAAAGCACTTTGCGTCGCGTAGTTTTATCATCAAACGCAATATATGCTTTCTCGTATGGATATAATCGCGAAACGCGTACATCGGGATTGTTAAAGAAATTACTGTAATTAATATAGAGAGATATCTGCAATTTGTCTTTCGTACTCGTTTTACAATTATCTCAAACAGAAATTCTCATGCTTGGGAAATGATTGTTCTCTGGTAAAGAATCTGTTGTCTAATAATTAATGAAGTGTTCTGAAATTTCGTCTTTTACGATTGCTCGAAGCATTTGCAAACATCACACGGAATATATAAAATAATATTATATATTTTATTTAATTCTTCGATCAATATTACTACGTTATTCTCATTTTCTACTCATACTCACTGCTACGTAATACTCATTCATTCTGAAACTATGTCAATAGTCCAATTTCCAAGTTTCACACGCGCATTGGAACCCGCAGAGGTGAAAAATCTGTTGAAAACTTTAATTCGGTGCAATGTACCGTGAACGGTCTCTGCAGCAATAGTTAAACGTCCAAGCGACGTCGACGTAACTCGGATCGAGGTGTGTTTCGATTGTTACCGAAGTGTAATTCACGTTACGCAAGCAACGAGAAGAATCGATCGGTTAAACTGTTTATTTATCGTGTTTAGAGCGAAGTATGTCATTCCGTTGGATCCCCACTGTAAACGATTTTCGACTGCAGTTTGTGTGTTCAAGTGATTGAATGTGCCCGACCGTTCGCCTCAATTTTATTCCCTCATTTACAAGTTTCCGCTGAAAACGTAACAGGTAGAAGTGGAGTACTTATTTTTGTCCACTTCGTTTATTTTAGCGACTGCCTGCACACGCTGGTCACGAGGAAGCTCGGGGAAGGGGCAGTGTTGGAAAGATAAAAAATAAAAATGCGTGCATATCGATGAACAATATTTGGGAAAGTTTGAACCAAAAAGAAAAACACGTTTAGTTATATTAACGTTACTTTATGAATTTTTTTATAGTCAGAGGCCCGAAGAGTTTTAAAAAGATGTTAATTGAAAAGTTTTTAAGTCGATTAATTGAGTATTTTTAATTCGATCATGTCAAATTCCTTTTAGCACTTGGCTTTCGTTAAACTTTCGTTAGAATTTGTGAAACGTAAAAAGCTTCTAATCGAAATTCAATTGCAAATGAATTTTGACAGAAATCAAAATATTTTCCTAAGGAACATTGGACAAATTCAAATTATTCTCCATTTTTTGCCAATCGCCACGCTGTGTGGTAATAAGGAATTCTGATTACTTTTGTTTGGCTATATTTGTCCAACTGAGAAATATTATAAAATAAGTCGTGGTATGCCGAAAGAATATATTTATATTTGCCATCAGTGTTTGAAACAAACGTAATTATTGGTTCCACGAAGAGGCTCAGTGTACTATTTTCGACGTATCGGTTCCGCGAAGTAGAACTGTACAGTATAATTATGATTTTCAGTTTCTTATCTGCAATTTACGATGTTGTTTGAAGTAAGAAGTGTGGCCAGTTTCAATAAATAGAGAATATTTTCACAGAGTCGAAAGCAAAGTGCTGTGTGAAAAGAGAAACGTTAATGCCTTCATGTTTAATCGCACTACAATTTGCAAGATTTTATTAAACTTGGACATGCTATTTACGATGGGTACGATGGAATTTTCTTTTCATAGAAATTGAATAATTGATTTATTGGAAAAACAACTGTAAAGAATCTTTTATTCAAGGTAAAATCCACGAATGAAATGTTTTAGAAACTATTGTTTGCTCTTCGAAACTTGTATTCTTGTGTAGCACAATTAATTTTAATTTTTGTCATTTACTTTTGTATCATAAATGTGTTGGTGTTATCTCAAAGCATTTAATTTAAGTCTTTTTTAAGAAGAATCTAAAATCCAAAATCTAAAATATTTCTTGAAATTTAATGATACGTCTGTAAAATTGATGCAAAAATTTTATAAATTAAAAATAAAATTAAAGACATTACAAATTTCCAAATTTCCAATCAAATTTGATTATAGAGTCCACAAGTGTATATGATCTATAAACAAAAATTTTTCTAACATTCTTACTTTTCACTCTGAGGTTCTTTAAAATTCTATTATGCAAGTAGGTCGATATTTGCACATAAATCTAATTAAAATATATAACTTACACGAGAATATTTGAACTTTGAGTTTAAAAGAGTGTGATTTATGTGACACAATAATTTAATAATTAAGCGCACACAATTGAGCTTCAATTAAAACGGTGTTTTCTTACTGTTAACAAAGCAGAGTTCCCACATCGCGAGTTGTTCTATATTTAGCCGCATATTTCTCAAGAATATTAATTCAGAATAATATGAATATTATCAAAGCAGTTACCACTGGAACGAAGAGAAACTAATTTCAACGTACGATTATCAGGCTGCAGTCGATGCACTTTAACGAAGCACGATCGCGAAGGCGTTAAATGTTTTTATTTCGCAACATGTCACGTATCTGGTGCTCTCGTTCTATTATTGTCTAGTTTGCACGTAATATAAAACGGCTGCTAATTGGTCGGCTGAAACATGTTTCAAAATCGCTATGGTAAATGTGAAAAAGAATGTTTTTTTTTTAAAGATATGAATCGACGACTTTTAGAACGTTTTCAATACAATTGTCACGCAATTATAAAATATACAGTGTGCGGCCGACTAACGTGTACTAGCGGGCACGAGGTAGTTCCTTAAGAAAAAATAAGTACAAAATATGCAATGCAATTTTTTCATTTAAAACTTAGTTTTCGA